AACTAAAAATAGAAGAAAATATTTGCCAACCATACCTCTGATGAAGGATTAATATCCAAACAATGTAAGAAAATCAAACAATTTAAGGGCAAGAAAACAAATAACCCAATTAAAAAATGGGAGGAGAATCCAAACACACATTTTCCAAAGACATAAAAGTAGCCAACAGATGCATAAAAAGTTGCTGGATATCTCTAATCATCAGGGAAATGCAAATTAAAATCAAATGAGATCTCACCTCACACCTGTTAGAATGCCTCTTATCAAAATAATGAAAAGACACTAAATATACTAAGCCTTTCACAAAAAACTAAAACAAATACTTTATGATTCTCCTGTGAAATATCTAAAGTGGTCAACATAGAAAGAAAAAGTAGAAAGGTGACTGCTAAGGGCTAGAGAGAAGGAGGGAGAATTTATTATATTAATGGGTATAGAGCTTCAGTTTTGCAAAATGAAGACATTCTAGAGATCTGTTGCACAACAATGTGGATATACACAACCCTACTGAACTGTACAGTTAAGAATGGTGAAGATTGGAAATTTAATGTTACATGTGTCTTATTCCATATATACCGAAAAGCATCAGCTATGCAAATGCATAGTATAGTTTCAGAAAAAAGTACAAATGTATGTCTGGGCTAAGCTTCTAATTAGGTTCCAATAAGCATATGTAATTTCAGAGCTAGTAATTCCATTATCACTTACATATGATTTGTAAGTCATTATGACCAATAAGTATCACAGCACTGAGTAATTATGTATAAATCACTAGACAAACATCTTAGGAGTTTTATGTTGAATTTTTAATCCCTTTAAAGAGAGAGAGGAATATAGGTCTGTAAGAACAAAATTTAGTGGCAGATGAAATCAAAGCAAGAATGATTATTCACATCTTGGTGTGACGATCCCAGTTGGTTCCTGGGTGAATTTCATTCTATTTTTTCCCTGACATCAAGATTTCAATGTACATGGCTCATTAGTGCTTGTAGGCATTTCTGTAATGGCAATTTATTACACTTTCAGGTGACAGAAGCTATCCTTTGAAGAATTGCTTTCTGACCTCCTCCTCTTTCAACCCACAACACCTGCCGGATGAAGTGGCCTGCTCTTTTTTTCTGTCCCCGTATAGACACGGAGAAGTTTTTGTGCAGAAGGAGAGCAGGGCTGAAAAGCTTTGGCAGGAAGGTTTTTGCAGCAGCCTGCTTGTCGTACTGCATGGATCAACAATTTCTCAATTAGAAGAAGATAGACGAGAAGATAAAGTATTTGGTGACTGTAAAGCTTCAAGCAGCAGCTGAGGAAGATTTTGAGAACATCTGGTCGGAATCTATTTCTTTTTAGGTAAGCATTCCTTTTTACAACCAGCATACATAAAGCATGAAATTGGCTTACTCCACCTCCTAACAAGGAAGAAGCTCGTTAGATTTATTATGCCTTAGATGCAGGTATGGAGGGAGAGAGAATGGTATGTGGCATGCCCACTGGAGATCGCCCTCCTCTCCTAATCTTCTGGACTCCTCTCAGAGAGAACATTCATCTACTTTGTCAAATCTATTTTTAAGAGCCTATCTAGGTAGGCAAGTGTAAAAGATCATTCACAAAAGTAAAGCCAATTCATGATGAATCTGGTTTTTGTACCCCATGAAATTTATGTCTGAGCAAGGGGTATTATTAGCATAACACTTCTCTTAATTTTTAAAACTGATTCTTTGTGTACCTGGCTCATTCTCTTTCTTTGTTAATTTAATGTCTTTCACTCTGGGCAATAAAGGTATAATTAACTGGTATTTTCTTTTCTTTTTCTTCTGTATCTAGCCTCATTTTATGTGTTCATAGAACCCTGAAACCACCAAACTATTGCTATTTTAATCTGTAAGACTGTAGCCAACAGGTTTCATAATGCTCTCCTGTTTTAAAGATATGGCATAACCAGCCAATCAAACCACATAACCAGTTATTTTTAAACTGTATGCACAAATTACAAAGGAAGTGCTGGATTCATGTCAGTTTATGGTAAAAACTTTAATGCATTTGCTTTTTCATTTAAGGATAATTGCTTACATGGCATTGTTTTCATGTTATAAGCCATACTAGAATAATATAAAATCAACATTACTTTATGAAATGTACACTAATATTTAGCCTGTCACATCCATACTATTTTAAATGTTCATCTACAATAAAGTGCCTTCAAAATCATGGAAGGAAATTTTTCTAATTTGTGATTTACTTTCCATGTACCTAAACTGTCCTTTACTAAACAACCATGCAATCAAATAATTCACATATATTTTTGTATTATTTAGCTCTTAAAATAGCTCTTTTCAGCCATGACTTTATACAAAATTTGTCTTTCTTTAATATAAAGAAAATTGTATAGAAACTTTTTACATACCCAAAGGGAATGAGATTAGTTCAAGATAGACTCCTGCAGAGTTAAAACTAGTCCAGAAGCAAAGAAAGGCTTAGCAAGTCACAGGAAATTTCAGGGAACAGTTAATCTATATCATCATCTTTAGGTACACTATAAATTTTCATCAAAACAATTAAGATCAAACAGTATTGAAACAAACTGGAACCTTTAAGTTTCATCCAAAGGACAAACTAGAAAACTGAATCCATGGAGAGGGTTAATCTTTGTACCTGTACACATACACTATACAATCATTACACTAGTTCAGAAGCTGTAATCATTATGGCTTATCCAGTTTCTTAATTCATCCTTATAGTACCCCACCTGCCTTTGGTCATTTTACTGTTCAATAGTGCTTCCCTAGAAGAGGGAGAGGAAAAAGAAGAGGAGGTTAAATTAAGTAATCAATTCTGTTGAGGAGAATTTAGAATTAACAGTTAAAAATAAATTTTAAAATTACCAGTGTATTTTACTAACCTGTGCTGGGCCTATTGTTAGCAGAACTAATTGAGAGTTAGCCACAGGAAAATCCATCTCCACAGCTGGTGTCAGTACCAAGTCCACTATCTCTTGGGTTTGGAGAAGGCCTGGTTCATGTATAACTGGTGTTTAGAAAGGGAAGTAAGAATGAATTCCTCTTTCATGAAACACAGGGGTCAGATAATGATTTCTATTGTGTAAACAGCTCTAAAATTCTGTGTTCAAGATACTTGCCAAAAGATAAAGATATCATCTAGTTGTGTTTTCACAGAATTTTTCACTGTAAACTTGATTTTAAAAAGTTAAAATTATACAGACAAGTCTAAGAGGAATAGAAAACATTGCAAGTTAGCATGAATTTCAAACTTAAATAAACAAGGAGAGCAAAGTCACAGAATGCTAAAAAATTCAGGAGTGTGGTTCTCTCCCACTCTCATCTTTTTATTCCTTTTCAGAAACCCCCCAAAAGTGTGCTCCTCCGTCCCTCCTGTAAATGCCCAATTGCTTCTTTAGTCACAGAAAGAGAAAAAAAGGGAACAAAGGCTTAGAAGACTGAAATTAAAAGCCAGATGGTTAATTCAACTATGAAGGGCAAGAGGGAGTCCAAAAACACCTTCTGAGAAAAATCATTTTAGGGGTCCTAGGACTGTGGAAATCAGGTGTATCGCTTTTAGTGTCTGATTATGAATGAGTCCTTGGATAGACACTTTTGGTAAGTTTAGTAATAAAGGAAAAAAGTTGTTTCACTGCAGACGGTTCCATTTTCTGCAGGGTTAAACTGCAGACGTTGGCTCCAGAGCTTGGGCTGTCCTTGTTGGAGGGCACGATGCACCATAGATTTTTATTTTCACGAAACAGACTCCAGAGGTTTGCGGCCTTCCAGACAGCAGCTGGCGCCGAGCACAGGCACTGCCTCAGGCCGGAGCTGCTTGGCGACCGCGCTACTCTTGGCTGTGCGTCCCGGGCAGCGCTAGCCAGCACCGCAACCCAAGATTCCCGTTCAGAGCAGACGCTGTTCCCTTCTGGAAGGGCCGTGGGGGCTCGCAACTGACGGCTTCTCCGTATATTTTTAGGGAAAGGGAGTTGGTTTGCAGGGAAGGATGGAGTAGTTTTATAGAACGGTTGGCTCCTTCCTATAACTCTGGTGCCTAAATTGGGTGAGACGGTGGCCAAATAAAATGAAGGGAGATTATCTCATTTTGAGTAACTAGGATTTCTGGATGAGCTGAAGATGTGTCCTGCAACTGTCGATTTGGCAAGAGATTTGACTCAATCAACTACCATTTGGTTTTCACTTCAAACACACCTCCCCATGTCTGGTGTTCGGACCCACTCCCCAGACTAGAGGTAGGGAGTGAGCTGAAGGAGAGTGAATCAAAAGTCAGCCTTCTTTTGGTCTCTGCTTGTAGCAGATGCACAGCTGGTTGGTTCTGAGCAGGTTGGTGTGTGAGGCTGAAAACAGGAGCAGCTTAGCGTCTTTAGCGGGCTTTGGGGTGTGTGTGCTTAGAGGGTGGATCGGAAGAGGTTGGGAGTAGAGTCAGGCTGAGTATTCAGCGAAACCCCTGATTTTGCGTCCCAGCTGCTTCTTCCACTGCCCCCACTGCCCAGCCCCCGCTGCTTCTAGTCCCCGCAGCGCTGGCGTGGAGAGGAGGGGGTGAGGAGGGCGCTGGGGGGTGGGGGACGCCCAACAACGCGTCGAGCCCGCGGTGGCAGCAGGGCTGTCTCTTTAAGCGCTCCGGAGGGGCCGGGGCGGGAGGGCGGCGAGCGCGTTTCCATGGCACCCAGGCTGCGGGGGCTGCGGGGCCGCTGGGCTCACTCTGCTCCAGTCGCTCCCGGCGGAGCAGGACCGTGCAGCTCGCCGGCCACCGCGCCTCGGGGGCTCCTCTGGCCGCTCCTCCTGGGCTCCCAATCGCCTGTGACGCCCGGTGGGGCCGAGCCGCTGCCGCGCCCTCCTCAGGGAGACGCACCTCGCCGGCCCGCAAGCCCTGCACTCCAACTTCTGCCCGGCGAGCCCAACTTCTGCGCCGGGTTCGGACTCGGCGGATTCCGAGCGGCGCGCAGCGCGCAGTTCGGGCGGTGGCCGGAGCGGCTTGGCCTCGCTGAGATGACCTCGCGACTGTGGCTCTGGTGCTTCTGCGCTTGGGTGGCCGCCAGCTGGCCGCCAGGAAGCGCCCTACAGCTCCAGCCAGGCATGTAAGTGGCGCCCGCGTGCTCCCGAACGAGTGGAGAGAGCCGGCGCCCGTGCGCCCCCGCCCCACTCTGACCTGCTGCGGTCACCGCGGGCGGAGCCCTTCGCTCCGAGAAGGGAAGGAGGGATGATATGCCGGCAGGCACCAAGAGGGATCTTTGGGTTGTCCCTGGCGGAGCGCCGCGGGAACGCTGTCACCAGCGTGTCCTCTGGGAGCGTCAGCTCTGGAGCAGAAACCACGACCCAGGGCCGTGTGCCTTTTACCTAACTCATACTTTCTAAGCGCCTGACCGATTCCCCCCACCCCTCCAGTTTGAGTGTTGTGCACGTGTGCTTGATGTGTGTGTGTGATTGGTGTGTGTGTGTGTGTGTGTGTGTGTGTGTGTGTTTCAGTTAATTTCCTGTTTAGGAGTAATTAGCTATTACAGATGCCACTTTCTAAAAGGATTTTAAATGAAATCCTATCGAATTGCGAGTTTCTCGACATTGTCTTTACAAAAACCAATGAGCTCCTGTACATTTTTTAAAAGAGGTATCATTAAGTCCAAGGAATGGATTATTCCACAGGTTTGAGAGAGGCTAAGTGAGAGATGAGTGTGTCAACCACTGAATGAGCTACTTGCGAAGCTGCTTAGATGCTTGCTCCTTTTAGTAGAGAACTGAAGAGTTCTGAACATGACTGGAAAGCATCATCTGAGGATGGGACATGTTTTTTTTTTTTTTTTTTTTACAAGTCAGCAAAGGTGAAGGATAGGAAATATTAAGTCTTGATCATTGTGTGAAGTGTAGCTACATGCTTGGGGCAAGTCTTTGCAAATTGTAAGGTCTCCTTGACTGTCTGGATAAGTTTTTACGGAATTCGGTGGCGTCAGCGGGATCATCATTGAAAGGTCTGAAAGAAAAGCCAGATCAAATTCTGCTTTTCATTTTCTGCTCTGGAGCAGTTGTGAACAGACAGTATTTTGAACATTTGAATATTTTTTTCTACTTTGCTACTTCTTTGCTTCATTTTGCTTTTCTGAAATGTGAATATTTTATGATAGAAAAGGGGATTTAGATAAGTACACAAAGCCATCCATACATTTCCCAGGCTTCACTTTTTCGGGTAAGAAAAATACTATTTTTGGACTCACTTTACATTTCCATATTTCATCCCTTTCCTGTGAGATTCAATTTGCTACCTGGTTACTGCAAATGTCACTAACTATAAATCTTGAGACTTGGCCAGGATATCAGTGGTATCACACAAGTTCTTTCCTGCATAGTTTGTAAATACATATTTGGCAGAAATGCAAGGAGTTCTTGTGAATGTGATTTCTCTTGAATTGATAAGATTTGCCTTGTTTATTTTGAAGAGGTTGCTTTAGACTTTTCAGCTTATCTCTGAGAACATCTCACTTTGGATAACTTGTGCATGCATAAGCCTTCATATCGTAGAAATTGCTTTTTAGCAAGCTTGCCCAGTAGCCCTGCTCTTACCTTCACAAGTGCCCTTATTTAAGTGAATCCCAGTTTGCCTTATTAGGTAGTCACAGAATCACCCAGGCACATTGAGACTGAATAATCCCTTTGGAGAAAGGAATGGAGGCTTTGAGGAACAACAGAAATAAACCACTTTTTTTTTTTTTAACATTACTTAACTATTGTAACTCGTGTTTCAATAGTGGTTCTTTGGTTGAAAAGGCTGGGGGGATGACTTTGCACTTTTTTTTTTTTTAAGGAGGCTGCTCCTGCAGTTCATTTATTTATCAGATGAGATGAAATCAGATATTAAAAACAATATAAATTTTTGATTGTTTAATAGAGATGTGTTTTCCAGGGAGCTATTGAGATCACTCTGGTGACTCTTAGTACTTTCAGAAAACTAAATGGGGAAATCCAATCAAATTTATGTTTTGTCCTCTCTTGTATTAGAGTTAATGGTGGCTTCTTCAGTAGGAACCATGTTGGGATTTAGTGCTAGGTTTCTGCAGATGTCTTTGCAATTTTCGTAGGCATGTGGAATGCAACCATGTACAGCTCTTGGCTTCCAAATACCTGTCCATCTGTTAAATTAAAGAGAGTTCTTTCCTAAATTTTTTTTTTTATTGACCTCTGAGGTCCATTATCAGTGAAAGCAGGCTTCTAATGAGGTGAAGACCACTAATGAGAATGCATCATCTTACTGACTGGCATTTATAGGTCATTAACACAGGTAAGAGTTTTATGTAGCTGATCTTGTACTTGTGCAGATTTGGGGAGCTAGAGAGACAAGGGAAATTAGGAAATGAATGTTCAGCTAACTAGCGGTCAGTTTAAACATAATGTATTTAATTCATGGTGTAGTCCTCAGAAAGTAAACACTTTTTATTTTATTTATTTATTTACTTTTTTAGTAAACTAATTTTCAAAAGATATTTTATTAATGAAACAAAGAGATGTATGGCATATGGATTTTCCAGTTCTAATGATAATTGATTTGTGCAATGATCTTGTTGTATTTAGGAAACCTTGCATAACTTAAGTTTAGGCAGATTCATAAAATCAGTATTCTCTAAAGAGTGCTTAAGTACCCACTATGTAAGCAGGCTTTTGAAATCCCAGACCTAATCTATTTGAATTTTTTCTTAGATGCTGGACAAATTTCTAGATACTTTTCATGTACTATTTCATTTAATCTTGGAAATAGCCCTAGAGATAGGCATTATTATTTCCATTTTATGATGAAGAAGAGACATAGTAAGTTTAAGTTCAGACTCCAAAAATTCAGAATATCTGAATCCAGGCAGTCTGAGTCCAGAGCTGGGGTTCTTAACATATGCCCTATTTTAGAACATCCAACCCCAGCCTAGTTTTTTTTTTTTCCTTTTTTCTTTTGGTTGTGCTGGGGATTGAACCTAGGGCCTTATGCATGCAAGGCATGAATGTATAGAAGTATATAGAAGCTTTCTATAGCTAATGTAGAAATTCAGGGGTCAGAATGGGAGTGGCAGAGATTTAGGTCTTACAAAGAATCCATGGACTTATAATTTGTCAAGAAGCTACCAACTGAGCTATATCCCCAGCCCCCCAGGCCATTTTTAAGAACTTCTTTAAGCAAGCATTTTCAATGGGAATGGAACTGAAACCTTTGGGGTCTTTTTTGATGGTTGAAGTAGCTATAGGGTTATATTGGCTTTTGATGCTAGTTTGGAAAAGATGGTTATCCTACAATGGGTGTGAGTTCTCTTGCCTCATGGAGACTCCTTCATGCTTGTAGGCACTTAAGTACTAAAATGATGAACTAGGCTTAAATGGGATGTGTAGGGTGGGGAAAGGTATCCTTGGCAAGTGCATTATGAAATCCAGAGTTGTAACTGGTGATGGCATTTTGATAAAGGGATATTGAAGAGTTTACTTATGTTAATGGTGCTCTGTAAATGTTTTGTGAAGGATTAAGTAGGAGGAAATAAACTCTACCCAGATCTTTGAGACATCAAGGAAAATGACTAGCTGTAATGCATTCTATTAAAATTTATCCTTTGTAATATACTCTTGTAAATACTTGCATAGTAACATGATGAGAAGTAGTAAACATGGAGGGGTTGGAGCTATCATGCCAGACAGAAATGAATAAAGGCAGAACCAGTGGCTTAATCCCCTGGAACTTGGGATACATGGATTTCTCTGATATGTGGAGGGAATTTTAAGAAGGTGTGGTACTTTGTGGCTCAGCAGTCTTCTAAGTTGTGCAGGACTTCTCACATCCATCCCTAATGAGGATATCCAATATAGGCAGGTTTGTTTTTTTTTAATAGTTTTTTTAGTTGTCAATGGAACTTTATTTTTTTTATTTATATGTGGTGCTGAGAATCAAACCCAGGGCCTCACACATGTTTGTCAAGCACTCTGTCACTGAGCCACAACCCCACCCCAACATAGGCAGTTTTGACATACAAATTTGAAGTGTGCTAAATGTGATATTGTTCAACACTCATGTATAGAAGTATGTTTTATTTCAGCTTTCTATAGCTGATGTAGAAACTCAGGGGTCGGAATGGGAGTGGCAGAGATTTAGATTTTACAAAGAATCCATGGATTTAGAAATAGAATTTGTCAAGAAGCTATGATAATAATCTTGGTGGTAAAAGGAAGTTGAAAGTTGTCTCTTGTCCCACATACTATGCTGGAATTTTTTTTTTTTTTTTACTTATGACAAAGCCTGAAATTGACCTATCTTAGTTTGTTCAAAATACTATAACAAAAATATCATAAATTGAATAGCTTATAAAGAATAAATATTTATTTCTCACAGTTCTGGAACTGAAAGCTATAATCCAAGGCATTGATAGGTCTAGTTGGTTGGTGTTTGGCAGGGCTTGTTTAATGGTTTTTAAATCCAGCTATGTCCTCCTAGGATCAAAGAGTCAAATGAGTTCCCTTGGATCTATTTTAAAAGAGCACTACTCTCTTTCAAGAGAGTTCTACCCTGAGGATCTAATCACCTTCCAAAGGGTGATAACCGCCACCTTGAGGTTATTTTAAAAGGGAACAAATATTCAGACCATAGCATGAGCAAACTAGAGATGTCTGGGACTAGTAACAGTCCACTTTAAAGCATGATTTGTGGTCTGTCATTTATTCATTAGTGTAAATTATTTCAAAAATTTGTTTCTTTCTTGTGGGTCAACCACATTAATGAACATATAATGAATTCAAAAAACAAAGCTGTGTGCACTCTGAGAGAAACTCTATTATTAGCAATTTGTATTTTATTAGAATCTTTGATCCAAATGACAATCACACAAAGTGGATAATATCATCATATTATCTTCAGATGAGGCATAGAGAGGTTAGGTAATTTGCCTGAAGTTTCATATCTGAGAAGCAGCAGGATGAGTTTTGGACCTAACCTGACTAACTCTAGGACCTTGTCCCTAATCACCATACTCTGGGGGTCCCTTGACTCTTGACCACTCTGTTGTACACTCTTGAACTATCAGACTCTCTGATCTTTTTACTTTGTTGGGTCTATTTACTTATATGT